AACCCGGGAGGCAGAGGTTGCGGTGAGCCAAGATCATGCCATTGTGCAATTTTCAAAAAATAAATAAATAAAAATAAAAATAAATTATCTTGGACTTCCAGCCTCCAGAACTGTGAGAAATAAGTGTTTATTATTTTTGAGTCACTAGTCCATGGTCCTCCATTACTGCAGCCTGAATGGACTAGAATGCCAGGGAAATAACCACCTGGAGGGACTGAAGGAAATAGTGCCTGAGTTCTGGGGACTCACACAGGGCTTGACAAGGCGTTGTTCCTGCCAGAAAAACCTCACAATTGAAGGAACACTGGGGAGAGCACTGAGAAGGGTCTTACGTCAACTGTGGGGAACAGACGGTTAAACACTGTTCTGGCCCCACCTGAGAAATTTTAAAAGCAAAACCTGAAAGGATCGAGCTGCTTCCACGTAACGTCACTGCATTCTCAAATTTTTGAATATTTACTGGCACACAAAAGTAACGAGCGCCTGACAAGGTAATACTGACATTGTCTAGTATCCAATAACAAAGTCACCAAATATGTAACAAGCAGGAAAATAGGGCACATCGTGAGGATAAAAATCATTCAACTGAAATGGGCCCAGAAGTTAGAATTAGTAGGTAAGAACATTAAAACCACTATTATAATGTACTCCATACGTTCAAAAGTTCTTTACAGATATAGAAGATATTTAAAAAGCCCAAATTGGATATCAAGAGATAGAAATTACAATGTCTGAAAGAAATAATGCACTGGCTAAGAACAGCAGGTTAGACATTGCAGGGAAAAAAAGACTCATGAACTGGAAGACAGCATTAGAAACTGTCCAAATGAAACATTTTAAAAAATGATTTATTTATTTATTTTTTAGACAGGGTCTCACTCGGTCACCTAGGCTGGAGTGCACTGGCATGATCACGACTCACTGCAGCCTCAACCTCCCCAGCTCAAGCGATCCTCCCACTTTAGCCTCTCGAGTAGCTGGGACTACAGGCGCATGCCACCATGCTTGGC